ACGGTATTTACAACATGTAAGTGTTAAAAATACTATGTGACTGTTTGAGTGATTTGCTTCTATTATAGAAAAGGTCTTAAAGACTGTCCTACCAGCCCAGACTAGCATTTTATAGCATATATCGTATAATCATAGAATGCCAGGTTGGAAGAGACCTCAAGGATCATCTGGTCCAACCTTTCAAGGTACTACTATAGTTTATGTGAGATGGCTCAGCACCCTGTCAAGCTGAGACTTAAAACGGTCCAATGTAGGGAATCTACCACTTCCCTTGGAAAGTTCAACGTTTGACTGTCCTCATTGTGAAAAATTTACCTCTTGTGTCCAATTGGAATCTCCCCAGGAGCAACTGGTGCCATTACCCCTTGCTTCCCATGTGACTCATTATAAACAGGGAGTCTCCCTCTTCATGGAGAAAAGCCTTGAAGAAGTCCAGGCAGACAGCGTCCACCACTCGCCCTGCATCAGCCGAGCAGGTGACTTGGTCATAGGAAGCCATCAGGTTTGTCAGGCACAATTTGCCCCTGGTAAATCTATGCTGGCTTTTCCCAATCACATGCCTCAACTTACTTGTGACTGTTCCCAGGAGGACTTGCTCCATGACCATTCCAGGGACTGAAGTGAGACTAGTGGGTCTGTAATTACCTGGGTCCTCCTTGGAACCTTTCTTATAGATGGGGGTGACATTCGCCTTCCTCCAGTCTTCAGGGACGGCTTCCCATCTCCACGACTTCTCCAAGATTATGGAGAGCAGCTTTGCAATGACATCAACAGCTCTCTCAGCACCCCAGGCTGGATGACATCCAGACCCATTGACTTGTACAGGTCAAGCTCCTGTAGTAGTTGACACACCAACTCTTCCTGCACTGACAGCGGGTCAGTGTCTGCATCAACCAGGATTTCTGTTCCTATGGCCTGGGACCCAAGAGCACTGGTAAAGACAGAGGTGAAGAAGGTGTTGAGGACCTCTGCCCTTTCAGAATTGTTGGTGACTAGTTCACCTCTCTGGGTCAATATTATTAGTAGGCCAATATTATTCCTCTGTGTCTGCTTGTGTATCTGAAGGACCCTTTCTCAAAGTTTTTAACATCTTTGGCTGTCACAGTTTGACTCAGGTCCGACAACAATGCTCTCGATCCCCCCTCCCCCCAACCCAGGTAGGGAAGGAGAGAGAGAAAAAGAGAGAGACTTGGCTGGATTGAAAACTAAACTACACAGCTTTAATTAAAACACTAATGAATGATACAAGAAAATATATACAATTATATACAAATATATTCAGGAATGGGTAAAAAGCCTCGCTGGAGAAGAGCAGAGAGTTATGGGGGTCAGGAGAGCTTGAGCCTAAGGGTCGACGGTGATGGATGAACAGAGTCCTCCCTGGACGCCGGCCATGGACGGAAGAGAAGGGGAGAAGGAGAAGGAAGGAAGTTGTCTTCTGTGATCTCTGACCTTCCTCTGAGCTTACGTAGATATATGGAATGGAATATCTTTGGCCAATTTTGCTGTCTGTCTAACTCAGCCTCCTACGGGGGGGGTCACAGATCTCCCCATAGTGTCTGAGCCGGCAGAGTGCAGGTGCAGCCTTGAAGCCTCAGTAGTTAGAAAAACATTCCACTGTCTTATCAGCCTAGCAGAACACACTGTTGCTAGCTACAAGAAAGCTTACTGAAGGAAAAAAAAATCAGTAAAAAGAAAAATTGGCTTCATCCTGGCTCAAACCAGGACATTGGCCAATGTCAGCTCAAGATGAGCTTTTGCTTTCCTAACTGCATCTCTGCATGCCCTGGCAATGCACTTGTAATTTCCAGCTGGTGATGTTCCACTTTTCCATCTCTGGTACATTTCACTTTTAGTTCTGAGCAGACTCAGAAGCTCACAGTTAGGCCAAGGGGGTCTCTTGGTCAGCCTGCTTCCCTTGCCTTTACATAAACTGGTTTTGCTTATCTAGGAGGGTGTTCTTGAAGAATTCCCATCACTCACTAGCCCCTTTACCCTCCATGGGAGCTTTCCACGGAAGCTTATAATTAGGAATTTCTTTAGAATTCCCTGTAAAATGTGCTTCCCCAGCCAGCAAGTCCTCTTTGAATATTAACACTGGGAGTCCTAATCGTTAGTAAAAAAATGGCTATTTGTGGCTCAGTTCTGGAAGAAAAAATATAAACCAAGCAGTCCTGTGTAATGATGCAGTCCTGAGTAATGTGCTGTAGGGGATCCTGCTTTAGCAGGGGAGTTGGACTGGATGATCGCTAGAGGTCCCTTCCAACTCTGACAATTCTGTGATTAATTTTTTCCAAAATCTTCCTTTAATAAGTGGGCATCTCCCCAGATGTTTCTCATGTCCCCCTGGACTGTCACATCAACCTTCTCCATGTTTACAGCACAAGGAGGAGCAGCACAGGCCACCCCCCTGGGTTGCAGGCTGCAGAGCAGGGGCCTGATAGTCTCAGCAAGCTGCAGGGCTGAGAGCAAAGCAGCCACCCAGCAGAAGAACCTTCTGACACAACACCAGAAAGCTACAGGGGCCCTCTCGTCTTGGGAAGATAATAAAAAAGCCAACACTGTGTTTCTACCTCCATACACTGTATTGGTGTGGTGGAGAGGGAATCACTGCAGCCAGACCTGGTGGCCACCTTTGCCAAGGGCACTGAAAAAAACAAGCTAAAAATATGGAAGAGTTATAAACCAGGTCTTGCAGTGAGAAACTCCAGAATTTCAAGATTGAAAAGTGACTTTGTTACAATGTAGGAGATGTTCATAGCTACTACTGAGCTACTACAAAGTCAGCTTATGAGGACTTTTATCATCTGGCAGAGAAAAAAAACCCTGAACTGATGATGTCAGACAACGTTGCATTAGTAACAAGGCATGACACTTAATTACAAGGAAATTACCAATTGGAGCAAAATATGAGAGGTGCTGGAGTCTGTCTCTTGAAATCTTCAAATAAATACTAGACATCTTCCTGAAGTTAGACTTTGAGCAGTTCATTTGTGGTACGGTGTAATAGAATAGAATAATATATAACACAATACAATAATACAATATAATATAATAATATACCATATACTATAAACAAGATGATATATAATATACATAATATCATATAATATTATATTATATTGTATAATATTATAACACATTATATAATATTACGTTGTGTTAATTTAGGAACAAAGTGTGAAAAGCATATGTTAAAGGATGAGCAATAAGGATAAGAGCAGTCACAGTCAGCCCTATGATCTCTGTGGGACTTGATATACTCTGCAGGCCTGAAGTCCCAGGTAGGTGGGAGGTGTGTGCATGCACAGACTGGTTCTGTGGAAATAGCTACACAGTGAGAACATCACACTCCAAAGGGGCTCCAGTTCTGTTACTCAGTGGTTTGCTTCGTAATAAGACAGTCTTCTCTGGGGGTCTGTAGCATCCCCAGTCCCTGTCTCTGCCACTGCTCTCACAGGAGGCTCCCTGACAGCCTCTGACCTCAGGTATGGCTATTTCTAAATGCCCTCAACCAACACCAGCAGAATCAGGCTGTCTGTGCATAGGTGGCCTTTCATTATATAAATTGGCTGATAAGAAAGAAGTGGAGACACTTTTTGCCAAAGCCTGTAGTGAGAGAACTAGGGGTTTTAAACTGCAAGAAAGTAGATTTAGACCAGGCATAAGAAAGAAACGTTTTACGATGAGGTTGGTGATTATACAAGAACAGGTATTGGTGTCTATTTCATTGATGCAGAGGGCTTCTCTAAGACTTTTGAACACATGGACAGGGATGTTTTTACTCCTTGCCAGAGTATGTCTCCATCAAGGAAGAGAACAGGGGTCAGTGGAGCTGGGAGTCTCCCCCAGCCACAGTGCTCCCAGTCATTGATTCACTGCTTTGCAACCCATCCCCTCTGATTTCACCACCCTCTTAAGATGAATTTAAATTCTGAAAGTGGGGCTGGCTGTTTGCAGACTGAAAGTAAAGGAATGGCTTTGTTTTCCTTAGTCATGAGTGTTTCCAGGGTCATATCCATGTGTCAGCAGTGGATGGGAGCCCTTGGCTGCCAGAGGCTGCCAGAGGAGCATTGTCCCACCAATTCCCCTGTGTGACAGAAAACAGGGTATGTTTTCTTGTTACGTGCTTTTCTACAGTGAAAGATAATGCTGCTTCCCACACAAGTGTGTGCCCAAGTGCTAAGGCCAAGCCAGCAAATGCAAAACACCTGCAAGGCAGTCTCTTGGTGTCAGCTCCATCTCGCTGATCCTGATGGACCCTGTGCTCAGGGAGAGTGAGGGTTGTGGCTGTGTGAGGTTCCACTTCTGACCTTACATTTTTTATTAATATTACCTTGAAGAAATTATATTGACAACTCTTCCCCACTTGCAACATGAGAAATGCTTTCTTATTAATTTGGAACTATTGATTCCTACACCAGGAAATGCTTTAGTCATTCCCTCCTCAGCTGGTAAGTGCTCTGACCTAGTCCTAGTGTCTTCTTGGGAAAAGCTCTCTGTCCTTCAGCTGTGGTTCTTCCCCAGGCAGCCTCTTTACAGAACCAATCAAAGGGACAAACAGGAAGAGGCCCCTCCCCACAAGTTGATTATTTTCAAGGCTTTCATCCTAGAAATATCCTATATCTCAAATGGAAGTGGTGGGATTAAGAGGTGCCCTTATAGAAACATGACGGATCATAAAAGGTGCCTTTCAGCCTTTAAAATCCATGAGATTGTGCAAACCAGGAGCACCTGCCCTGAACCATGCTGTCTCCACCCATGCCTTTTTGGTACCCAGCAAGAGACCGCAGCCAAGTATGCCCATCTTTGCATTTTCCTGCTGGCATCCCCTTCTTTTTGCCAACCAAACTCCTTCAAAATGATGCTCATGCACATCTGCTCAGTGCTGTCTTTTATTTGGGAAGGGACCCAAGGCACAGCTTGGTGGGAGGGACCTAAAGCCAGTGGTGAGAAGGGGTGCAGAGGCAGAAGCGCCGGGTGCCGCTCCCTGCGGCAGCTCAGCCGCGTGACTTCTCAATCTTCAAGATGCTATTTGGTTTCAGTGAGTAGGTCACCTCGTCCTCCCTCACCCCCGGTGGCAGGCTGATTTCCCTCGTGAAGTTTCTGTATTTATACTCCTTCCCTCTTGCAGTGGTGTGCTTCTCCTCGTGCTCTGCTAACACCTTCACCTTCCCGTCTTTCACCGTTACAGTGACTTCCTTGGGGTCAAACCCTTTGATGTCCATGGAAGCCAAAAGGTTGTCATCACGGGAAGAGTTCAATGTCCTGCTTCGGCTTCTTTGCCTGCTGGAATAAAAACAGGAGGATAGCCTTTCAGTTCAACTCACAAAGGAGTGGGTGGACTACCTGAAAAACAAGAGAAGTATATAGAAAACTACTGGATCCATCTTCATGTTGATGCCCAGCACTTGGGGTGGTGTCTGCACTGTTAGACAGAGCACCCACTTGCACGCCACAGCAGTCAGGAGTATTTCAGTGTTCCCTCTTGGCATAGAGAAATCGTGGAGCTGAAAAGTTCTTTCACCTAAATACAGAGAAGTCTGTGCTCCTCTTTCACGTGCACAGACACCCACAAAGCCACGTATGTCCATTTAATGCCTTGTCCTACATTCTAAACAGATAGTTACAATAGATCACATTTTCCAGTTGGCAGTTTTGCTTAAAACAATCAGTGGACAGGAGACACATCTGGCAAAAAAACCCCAAACAACCCAAAATGCTCCTGCAGAGCTGGGCTGGAGGCTCAATGAGCCATTACAGTTATTTCTAATACGGTCAAACAGCAACTCTGCTCAACCAGAAGTCTGGCTCTTATTCAAACCATTTGTAAAGTAGACAATGGAAGGGTCACCTCACTTCTAATAGCTAAATTGGACACAAGACACCAAATTAAAAAGATAATGGAGTGTCATGGAAGAGGAAATGGGGCAAGCGGTGTGGGAATGAGCATGACCACTAAGGTGAGAAATCCTTAATGAGTGGTTTCATTTGCAAGGTACACCCATTTCAGCAATGCTACTTAAAGCCTGCAATGATTCACCCTGGTGTGGTGATTTTGGGATGTATTGTCTGTGCTCTGTGTGAGTTGCCCTTTTAGTCTTTTTCTATTGCTGGTAGGAGGAGAATAAATATACTGGTCCTTCACAGCATTTTTTGTGGGTAGGGGATGGCTGAATTCCCCAGCATGATGGGCTGAAATCTTGCTGTGGATCTATGTCAGTTGGCAGTGGTATGGACTTGTGTTCAAACCAGCAAGTTGTCCTGAGTGTGGTAGGGCCAGGGAGCCTGGCACTCAGGGACAGTGTGCCCTGGCATCCCACAGCCCATCCTGAGAACCCTCCCCAGCTTCCATTCAGAGTGAATTTCCATTCTTTCTCTGGGATTTTGACATGCAATGATTCTGCAAGGGGATGCTGTGCTTGCCCAGCTCTGGTACCCAATACACTGATGAAAGTCTGGATGCAGACACCAGTCCTGTGACACCTGGGATCAGAAGTCTATTAGTCAGCAGACCTGTGTGAGCAGCAGCTCCTGGGTAAGTTTAAAGTAACCTCACAGCAACTTCTGTTTTTTCTGAAGTCAGTGTAAAACTACCCACGGGTAAGGCTTTTTTCCTTTTTCTTTTAACTTTATTGCATCCAGTAGATAACCCACATGGCAGATTGTGGGAGGATACTTGATGCTCTGTGGGTAACAAAAATACCATATTTTTAATTGCCAAGATGAAGGTCTCATCATCTCCAGTTGCAACACAAGAGACCTCAAACAGAAGCTTGAGTCTGGGGGTAAAATACCAATGTCACACCTGCAGCAGGAGACTCACCACTTCTGATGACCAAGGGACTTCTAAGCCCTTCTGATCTCTCAATATTTGGTTGTGTCATAACCCAAATGATGAGGTTTTATCATTCAACAACTCCCTTCCTGTGGAGCTATCTTCAGGTTTTATCTCCACTACAGTCAATCCTGAACACCACTAACAAAATAAAATCATCCCACCAGTGGTCAAAGGGGAGATGTCTTTAACAGAATTAAACTGAATTTATGACAAAGATAGACCTTGTTCCACAGTTGAACAGCTTCAGAGCTATATTGTGATATTTACTTTAGCTTAGACACAGTTTGTGAGAAGGTTAATGTCACAACGTGGTCCAAACCCTTTCTGGTGCAGGTGCTGCCCATGTGGCTCCTCTTGGGCTGCCCAGCTGCACAAGCCATGCCTCCCCTTGTAACCCATTTCTCTGAAAATGGATGTTTCTCCTCTGTGCTACTTATCTCTTTCCACCTTTGCTCTTGATACTGATGCCAAACCTCTCTGCATCCTGCCTTAAAGGGTACCAATGCCCGTAGGAAGCAGGCAAATATCTGTTACCTGCCCACTTCTTGCTCTGCATCCGATCTTCTGGTGAGAGTCCCCCTCTCCCAGGGGCGCAGGCAGCAGGGGCACATGGCTGGGCTGCACAGGCAGGCTGCAGGCAGCCACCAGTGGTCAAAGGGGAGATGTCTTTAACAGAATTAAACTGAATTTATGACAAAGATAGACCTTGTTCCACAGTTGAACAGCTTCAGAGCTATATTGTGATATTTACTTTAGCTTAGACACAGTTTGTGAGAAGGTTAATGTCACAACGTGGTCCAAACCCTTTCTGGTGCAGGTGCTGCCCATGTGGCTCCTCTTGGGCTGCCCAGCTGCACAAGCCATGCCTCCCCTTGTAACCCATTTCTCTGAAAATGGATGTTTCTCCTCTGTGCTACTTATCTCTTTCCACCTTTGCTCTTGATACTGATGCCAAACCTCTCTGCATCCTGCCTTAAAGGGTACCAATGCCCGTAGGAAGCAGGCAAATATCTGTTACCTGCCCACTTCTTGCTCTGCATCCGATCTTCTGGTGAGAGTCCCCCTCTCCCAGGGGCGCAGGCAGCAGGGGCACATGGCTGGGCTGCCCAGGCAGGCTGCAGGCAGCATCTCCTTGAGTTGTTGGAGCTGCTGCTGCAGCAGCCTCATCTGCCCCGCCATCTCTCTTTCCATCTGCCTCAATTCCTGCTCAGCCTCTTCCCAAAGGTGTTTGTGCCACGACATTGTCACGCTGCAAAGTGCATCAGGGTAGAAGTGCAGCCATGGCAGCCTGCAGTCCCCACGGGGGCAGAAATTGCCTGGACAGTTTTGTCCAGAGGTGAGTGTGTGAGGGGAGCTGCTGGGACTCCCAGCAGGACCTTATGACATCATGTGTCCAATGACCCACCAGGCTCCACAGTTGCCATGGAAAACACAGCTCAGGTCTGTGCACAACCAAAGCCCCCCTGCTGCAGCTGCCACCCACACACCAGGGGAGCCCATGGCAGTGGGACATGCTGGGAGGCTTGGGGCACAGTGGGGGACATGTGCAATGGCTGGGCCACCAGGAGCATGACCTGGCTGTGGTTTCATGCACAACATTGTTCCAGCACAGCTGCCCACACTATGCCCCTCTCCTGCGCTGGAACATCAGTGCAGAGAGAACACAAGCTGCCCCTTTTCACTCCTGGGCAGAAATCTCCATGGGTAAAACTTTTAAGTGTGGTCTCCTCTTGAAACCTGTGAGGATTCCCACTCCCAGGTCCTGACCACCACTGCCTTGGGAGAGGGGAAATGTGCACCTCACAGCAGGCTGCTCTCAGCCTGCTGCAAAACTGCAGCTCCTTGCATTACAGAAAAAATGTAAACTAAGGAGATCTACAAGTGCTCTGTGTTTTTTCCTCCTTTTGCAAGTTCTTTGCACAAGACATGGGATGTGTGATACCTTACGTGTTGTCCCTGACCCCCAGCCTGGACTGCCATGGTGTTTAGGTGTTTGCTACCAGAAGCCTTGGCCTGAACACTACAGGCTGTTCTGTGGGGCACTGGCACCCCCAGGAGTACCACTAGCCCCCCCCAGTGAGTGCCAGGGAAAGGCAAGATGCTCATGGCAACTTCTGAACATCTCCCCAGCTTCACCTCCCCATCCTGCTGGCTCTCTTCCATGGGGTTTTCTCCAGTGGCTACAAGTTTCAGATGTGACTTCAAACCTGCTTCCTCTGCCCCTGTCTGCTTCCTCTGCTCCATGTATTTATTTATTTATTTATTTTAAATGGAGAAGACACAGCAAATGGTTAAAAATGTGCAAAAATCAGACTTCTCTTTGCATCCCTCATTGACAACTGCAGCTGAAGTACTTCTGGGAACACTTTGAGAACATCTTAAAAAATGTTTATGTCCCTGTCCTCTCACCACAGTAAGCAAACAAGGTACTAAGGAGAGCAGATCCAGGTATTTGCTTCCCCCACTCACAGATGTTACTCCACAGCTTTAACCTGCCTATGCATCAGAAAAAGGTGCTGCCTTGGCAAGAGTGGGTGACACAAGTATTTTGGTTAATGTAAGACAAAAAAGGGTGCTGTGTCCTGCAATTGTTTTACAGAGAAGGACAGTGCTGCATGCACTGCACTCAGGGTATTGCTGCAAGCACTTATCTGAGCTGGTGGTTTGACCATTCCAAATTCTGTGTGTGCTGGGATTTGTTGCCTGCCTGCTCAGTGAGCTTGGGCAGGGGTGCTGCAGTCATTGGCTCCTGCCTTGAGGACTTCCAAAACCATTGTTGTCTTGTCAGGCTGTTGCATCAGTTTTTCTCGAGACTGACCCCCATGGGTTTCAGTGTCAGCTATGCCTGTGACATGGATGGATTTGCCTGGCTCCTAGAAAGGTGCCTGTGGTACTAGAATCACAAGCAGCATTGACACCAAAACTTCCTGGGTCTAATACCGCTAGAAAAACTATGAGCAGCCTGCAAGAGTGGGGGATGCTTAATGTCTCAGAGAAATCTGGTCTTTAAGGGCTTGCAGTGGATTGAGTATCAGTGGGAATGCACAATCCCTGCGCATTTAAGAGAGCAGCAGAAGACCTCTTGGGAGCTCTGCAGCTGCTCAACCCTTCTGGCACCTCCCCACTGAGGAAGCGCCTTCCACAGTTATTAATGCATCCAAAAGCCCCAGTAGCCCCAGACAATAAGATATCCCCTGCAGTCCCCAAGGAGGCAAAGCTGAGCTCCCATGGGGCTGCACACCTGGAGGGAGCCAGAGCTGCTGGCAGCAGAGCATTTTGAGAAAGGGGACCCTAAGAACCAAGCTAAACAAAAACAGGTGAGGCTTCCTGCCAGACATAGCTCACATTCAAACATTGGTGTATCATATGTAAGAGTAAATCAAAACATTAAAATATAACTTTATATACCTAATTTAATTTACATATACTGGCAACGAAAAACATTTGTTAAAAGCCATATGCTTAATAGATACTTAAAAGGCAAAGCTTCTTAAAAACCCCCAATTCCCAGCAGCGATCCTCACCCTCAGTGTCCATCGCATCATCTTTGATAAGTGCTGTAACCCAAGACATGAACCATATTCCCTCAGACTGGCCTGTGACACAAATCTAATCCCAGCCCCAGCAGCTCCAGGACAGGTGCATCTGTGCATCAGGCATCTGCAAACTGGTGAGCTGGATGATGTGTTATTTTTCCAAGGAGAAATATTACTTTGACTTTTCAGTAAATCAAAAGAGCTTATTTTATATTGAATGGTAGTTTCATCCAGAAAAAAGGAAATTGCTTTTTGCTTTATTACTCATAAAAGGCGTAACTTTTTCAGTCTGAAGACATATTTTTTATTTAAAAGCTGAATTCAAAGGCTGCCACTGTCTGAAGGGTCCCTCCTGTATGAAGTCTGTATACCTTTCTGACAGCAGTATTTTGTCTTCAAAACTCTGACACTCTCTAGTCTCTTTGACTGCAGATGAAAGAGTCTTTCAGGAGGTCTCTCTTGGATGGTGCAAGTCTGAATCCCTTATTTCACAGAGGAATTTTTGTTTGCCAAGTCCCATTTGAAGAGATGAGATCTGGTGCAGACCACTCAACCAAGTATCGAGCTAGATCTTCCTGACAGAGTCCTGGGGGTACAGACTGCAGGAGCCATTACAAAGCAAAGACGCTGAACACAAAGATGTGCATCCAAATAAAATTTCTGCAGGAAAAGCAACTGCTTGAAAATGTTTTCACACCAAATCTCCCTGGTACATGAAATCTGGAGGTTTGAGGATTCACCATGAGACCCACAGGAGAGCAAGGAGGCACTGCAGGCAAGGGTGCCTATGAGGTGTTGCCTCCTTTGGGATGCATCTTTATGCCAGGGGATGTGAGCTTTTCCCCACAGGAATGCTCAGCCAGGGAGTTTGTTCCCAGACCTGGAGAGCACCAGCATGGTCCATGACCTTGAGCACCAAGCAGAGGGACTTGCGCACAAAATAAACTCAGAGGGCATCATCACACATCCTACGTAGGATAAGCAGGTGTCTCTGGACACAAATCAGCCAAGCAGAGATTTCATTTTATCATAGAATGGCGTGGATTGGAAGGAGCCTTTAAGATCATCAAGTCCAACCCCCCTACCATAGGTAGGAGCATCTTCCACTAGAGCAGGCTGCTCAAAGCCCCATTGAACCTGGCTTTGAACACTTCCAGGGAGGGGACACGCACAGCTTCCCTGTGCCAGTGTCTCACCACCCTCACAGGAAAGCATTTCTTCCTAATATCTAATCTAAATCTACCCTCTTTCACCTTAAAACTGTTCTTTCTCATCCTACCACTACATGCCCTTGTAAAAAGTCCCTCTCCAGCCTTCCTGTAGGTACCTTCAGGTGTTGCAGCTCCTGCTCTCCTACTCTGGCCAGTTTCCATCTACCCATCACAGACATGTGCAGCAGGCAGCACTGCTCCTGGCATGCAACAGCCCTGTTTTGGGAGAAGTATCTGCTTTTCCTTGTCTTACCATGTCCCAGAAAGTGCCAGGAAATCCTGCAGTAGGATGAAATGCCATGTCAGCAAGTGCCCTCTATGGAATCAATGAAGCCAGGGGTAACAACACTGGTTTACAAAGATTTCCTGAAACACCTGTGCATGGAGCAGCTCATCCCCAAGGGCACTGTCACACCAACTGCAAATCTTCACTTACATTTTGAATCAGTGTTTAAAAAAGAATAAAAAACCTACCTGCAGGCAGGACATTTTTTTAATGCTCTGAAAACTGGGCTGTAGTTATTAAACCAAGAGGAATTATACAGTTCTGAAAGTAATTTGTAGCCTGGTTTCCCTGCAGCAGCCAAGCCAGCATTGTATGCTGGCAACGTGCTTTTCTCATGCCTCTTGTTGCTGTTTTTATTTAAAATCTCCCACACTTTAAACCTTTGGTCATCCTCTGTAAATCATTCACTTTATACTTATAAGGGGTGGATGGGCCAGACTAGACAGACTAGACAAAGGAATAGTTTTTCATCTTATGTTTTATGATCTTTCTATAAAGATCTGAATGGTGATAATCCTTACGGTGACTTGCTAGGGGTCGAGCAGAAGTGTGCAGCTGCTCTGGCTGTGACAAGTGATTCAGTTGATTTTATGTACTTGAAAACAGTTTTGGAAGGCAGCTGCTGCCTTTCTAGCACTTAGCACTGTTTGCAGATTACAGCAGCTGAGTATTATGGATTTAGATTTGGCATTCTCAGTCACACCTGATCATTTCCAGTAGTGTTCCCGTGTAGTTACTGTCTGTGGATGTCATTTTTAGGAAAGGTACCTCAAAAGCATTCAGAGGAGAAAGACTGATCTGGCTCTCTTGGGAAATAATGGCAGCAGCTGTGCTGCCTGGTACCCTTTTCTAGGCTTTCACTCCCTGTGGCTACTGGCATTACAGAGAAACCCCTGGTCTTCATGGTTCTAAGGAGTCAGATCCCACCTCAGCCTGGTACATAAACCCAGCAAATGTTAACAATGAAAATCCCTGAACTACAGATGTCACCTGCTCCTCTAGTGCAGTGAGAGAAACAGGGGACAGGTTGGGTATAAATCATAAAGATAAGGTTTGTCACCAACCATGCTTTGGGGGTGAAATGTGTGGCTTGATACCATGACAGCAGAAGATTAGATGGAGCAAGTTTTTCCTTGCAGATGCCAAGCCTGATACCTGTACTGTGCAAGGTCTGGGACCCTGTGATGAATGAAGAGGCTAGTGAGTCTT